CAGTTCGCAATTGCAGGATAAACTAGTACACTCATGTGTTTAACTGTTGACGAATGGCGCTTGGTGGTCCGGAAATTTTAGAGTCAGAGCAAGTATTACTTGAGGACGGAAGAATTTGAAAGCTTGAAGTAATGAGAAAGACCCAGCACAAATAATAATGACCTAAAAGAAGATTCATCAAGAAGGACTTTTGTCCGTATCGTTCTCGTCTTCTTTTCCCGTCTTTTTTGAAGAAACTTGCTGCTTTTTCGATGAATCTCTGCTCCTAAATCCGTTTAGTTGGCACAAATTCGCAAAAAAAAAGAAAAAAAAACTCTAATTGGTCACACTAATTTAAGTATTTGCTAAATGCCGGTAGGCTTAGGTCTTGGGAAGTAGTACTGTTGTTGTGTAGTAAGTCGAGAGTTCAATTCCGTCGGCAAAACAGCCGAATTCTCTGCGATTCGTTTATTCGTTTTGATGGTAAATTGGTGATGACAAAAACCAAGAGCCAAACCCCGTCATCAACTTGCCCGTAAAAAAACCATTGAAAGCGGGAGCCATTGACAAATTTGCCAGCGAGTGGTTGCTATCGGCACTTACTACTACTTGGGCCATTTCCCGAATGTCCGCGCCTTTCATAACGAAGATTTCTGATTATATTTGCTGGAAACTAACTTTTTTTTTGATTTGCTGCGTGCTTCATCTGTGCGAGAAGAGGATGGAGGGCGAGATTTGCGCTTGCCTCGTTTCTCCTTCAGAACGACCACTTCTCGTAGCGAAAGACTGCGTTTTTTCTGCAAAAAAATTGACGTGCAGTTTAATCTCTCGCCGAAGTGCTGCCAGAATATGAGTTGACAAAATTTAAAGTGATTCCTATGAAGAAATATGCTAAATTAATTGTTGAGGTGAGGATAAAATCGCCCGCAAATGCAAATAAATAGCAATGCGTACCAAACTAGCCGGACGCGATCATGCGCCTTGTACAATTCAGCCCACCAAACAATTGCCAATTAATGATTTTCACTGCTTTGTATTTTATTCTGTGCAAAAATAGTTGAATATTTAAAAAATTTTAAAAAAGAATATTTAAAAGAATATTTAAAAAAAAAGAATATTTAAAAATTTCTCGAAAAATATTTAAAAATTTCACGCAGCAGCGCATGAAAGCTGTATCTGAAACCTTGAAGGGTGAATATCTTTTCGTGATTCCCTTAACAGTAGTTTACCCGCCAAAATTTTCACGAGACCGTAAATGATACCCGAGAGCGCGGGAACGCTGAGTTTGAATTTGCAAGTTCGTACGTGGGTAAGGGGTCACTACTCCAAAATTTCAGCTTCCTAGATCCTATGGTTTCCGAGACAATAATTTACCTGCAAAAACTTTCACAGACCTGTAGGTGATACCTGAAGCACGGGAACGCTGAATATGAATTTGCAAGTTCGTACGTGGGCAATAGGTCACTACTCCAAAATTTCAGCTTCCTAGATTTTGTGATTCCCGAGATAACAGTTTACCCTTAAAAAATTTTGCGGGGCCGTAAGGTGATACCCGGGAGCGCGAGTAAAACTGGATTAGAATTTGCAATTTCATTTGTGGACAAGGGGTCACAACCCTAAAATTTCAACTTTCTAGACTCCGTGTTTCCCAAGATAATAATTTACCAGTCAAAAATTTTCACGGGGCCGTACATGTTACCCGCGGGCAAGGGAAAGCTGAATTTAAATTTTCTGAGTAGCACATGGGCAAGGGCTTGCTCGCAAATTTTAGCCTTCTAGCTTCCGTGGTTCCAATGATAATAATTTTACCCGCCCAAACTTTTACGGGGCCGTACGTGTTACCGCGGGTACAGGAAGGCTGAATTTAAAATTGCGGAGTCGCGCGTGGATGGGAAACTTCCCCCTAAATTTTCAGTTTTCACTGGAACTCAAACACAAACTCAAAAAGTTTGGATATGAATGCGAACACCACAATGTGTTGAATTTTTAAATTTCTCTAAACGTAGTGACTTTTGAACGTCTTTATTGAATGTGTTTATTATTAGTCATTCTCCTGACATATGATTAGGCCCATTTGACAGTCTACTAATTCGAATTATGTACGAATTGGTGCGGATGCGGGAAATGAAAGGACCGTAGTCTATAGAAAAGTTGCCAACTCCTCTAAACAGTAAATTCAAATCTCTTCCAGAATTTCAAATTTGTAAACTGTACATATCGATGTTTTGTGCAGATGCGCAAGCTATAAGGAGGGAACATTCTAGTAAGGTCACTAAAATGAAATATACACACCGACTTTCCGGGCGCTCTTGGCGTTCTTGGTACACATTGC